AGCCACTTCACAAATTATCCTAACCAATATGGAAATCAATTAATCAAAAATAATCTGACCCTGCACAAATTATTCTACTGACATGGAAAACACCAGTAAAATCTTCTACTTTTGTGACATCCAAATAATAAAACAACAACCCACAATAATATTAAAATTAGATCAAAATATTTATAAAAAGCATTTCACAGCCGGGCGCGGTGGCTCAAGCCTGTAATCCCAGCACTTTGGGAGGCTGAGACGGGCGGATCATGAGGTCAGGAGATCGAGACTATCCTGACTAACCCGGTGAAACCCCGTCTCTACTAAAAAAATACAAAAAACTAGCCGGTTGAGGTGGTGGGTGCCTGTAGTCCCAGCTACTCGGGAGGCTGAGGCAGGAGAATGGCATAAACCCAGGAGGCGGAGCTTGCAGTGAGCTGAGATCCGGCCACTGCACTCCAGCCTGGGCGACAGAGCCAGACTCCGTCTCAAAAAAAAAAAAAAAAAAAAAAAAAAGCATTTCACAACCACAAAATACTCTGACTAGAGAGTAAACCTTGAAGAATGGCAGAAGCAGTAGTTACTATATAGATACTATGTGCTTGATCCTGCTCAAATTTTTGAACATAATTAGTTACATAAACTTCATGGTAACATAAGAAGTACAATGATCTCAGTCAGTTAACTATTTAATTTAGTCAAAGAAGCCTCAAAAAGGATAATACAATTTGCAATCATTCCTTATTTGAATCCCCAAGAAAGGATTCTAAGTTATAGTTAACACACAGTATATCTTGATTTAACATGAATAACATTGATCTTACTACTGGATTTGGAAATTTATGGACCAAAGTTATACTATTTCACCTAAAATAAGTCTAAAAGGAATTAATTTTTAATTCTGAAAAATGTCAAACCTATGTTAAAATTGAAGGAGTACAGAGAATATCAATATATTCCTCACCTAGATTCATCAACTGCTAACATCTAACCAAACCCACTCTGCTTCTCCATCTTTATACCTTAATATGCACATTTTTCTTTTGTTTAGAGAGGCTAAAATCAATTTGGTTCTTTACTTTTAAATACTTCAAAACCACCTCCCCCAAACAAAAACACTCTCCCCTATGATTAACCAGAAAATGAACAGTAATAACAACATCCAACAATTAGTGCATACTCAAAAGTTCCTTAGCAGTCCCTAAAATGTTCTTCACACCAACTTTTTCTTTAAGTTTTCTTTTTCTCCCCTGCAGGAAACAAACACGCCAACTTTTTTTTTTTTTTTTTTTTTTTTTTTTTTTTTTTTTTAAGATGGAGTCTCGCTCTGTCACCCAGGCTGGAGTGCAGTGGCGCGATCTCGGCTCACTGCAAGCTCCGCCTCCCAGGTTTACGCCATTCTCCCGCCTCAGCCTCCCGAGTAGCCGGGACTACAGGCGCCCGCCACCTCGCCCGGCTAGTTTTTTGTATTTTTTAGTAGAGACGGGGTTTCACCGTGTTAGCCAGGATGGTCTCGATCTCCTGACCTCGTGATCCGCCCGTCTCGGCCTCCCAAAGTGCTGGGATTACAGGCTTGAGCCACCGCGCCCGGCCAAACACGCCAACTTTTTAAAAGCCCAGGATTCGATTCCATATTACATTTGGATGTTATGTCTCTTCAGTCTTTGCCAGCCTGAAACAGTTCTGCTGCCTCTCTCCATTCTTTGTAATATTGAATCTTTTGAAGAGTGTGGAAAACTGTCTTGCAAAACAACCCACCTTCTGGATATATATGCCCATTTCTTCAAAATTAGATTCTGCATATTCAGCAAGAACCCCACAAAAGTGATATTATGTTTTGCCCCCCACCCCAATAATCGCAACAGGAGACACATAATTGTTTATGGCAATGCTAAACTTGAGCACTTGACGAAGTTGGTAACCACCAGATGTCTGTGTTACAAGGGTACATTTTTCCCCCTTTGTAAACTGTGGGATGATACTTTAAGATCATCTTAATATCCTGTCCTAACACCTTTCACCCAATGACTTCAACATGTAATGATAATCCTTGCTAACTATTATACTGAGATTAGAAAATGGCAATTTTCTTTATCAATTTTATTTACCACTCCTTCTACTTATTAGCAGACATCTTTATGTGAAAAAAGTAGATCTTTTCCTTTGTTTTTCAATGGGCCCTGGTTCCTTTTAGTGGGGAGTGGTATTTAGAAACTGAGTCTACATGTGTTCTTTGCTACTGGGTTTCCATTGTTTCTAGGTCCTTTCTATGAACAGAGCTAGGAACTCACCAGTTTTTAAAAAATGGGTCCATACTCATACCATCTATTTACATTCAGCATCACAGGGTTCTTTCTCACCTTTCCCATTCCATATTTATATCTCCCTTCTCCATGGTAAAAACACTATTTCCCAATATAAGTATTTTATTCATTTGCCCTATTCTATAATACATACAAAACAGTTTAAGAATTAACACCTGGCTGGGTGCAGTGGCTCACACCTGTAATCCCAGCACTTTTGGAGCCCAAGGTGGGCAGATCACTCGATGTCAGAAGTTTGAGACCAGCCTGGACAACAGGGGAAAACCCTGTCTCTACAAAAAATACAAAAAAAAAAAAAAAAAAAAAAAAGAAATCTAGCTGGGAGTGGTGGTGCACGCCTATAATCTCAGATACTTGGGAGGTTGAGGTGGGAGGATGGCTTGGGCCTGGGAGGCAGAGGTTGTAGTGAGTCGGGATCGTGCCACTACACTCCAGCCTGGGTGTCAGCCAGATATTATCTCCAAAAAAAAGAAAACAAACAAACAAAAAACCAAAAACCAAAAACACCAATAATACAAATCAAAGCCAAGTTTTCTAAATAGTTCTATTTGTTGTTAGAATATATCCTACTAAGTGCGTAAAAGTCATCTGAATTATTTTTTCTTCTGTGTGATTATCAATTTAATATGTAATAGCATCTGTGGTTTCTCTGTTCATATTCATTCAGTTTTATCTATTTTTTTTTAGACGGAGTTTCGCTGTTGTGGCCCAGACTGGAGTGCAATGGCACGATCTCAGCTCATTGCAACCTCTGCCTCCTGGGTTTCAAGCAATTCTCCTACCTCAGCCTCCCGAGTAGCTGGGATTACAGGCATGCACCACCACGTCCAGCTAATTCTGTATTTTTAGTAGAGGTGCGGTTTCTCCATGTTGGCCAGGCTGGTCTCGAAATCCCTACTTCAGGTGATCTATCCGCCTTAGTCTCCCAAAGTGCTGGCATTACAGGCGTGAGCCACCGCGCCCAGCTCATTCAGTTTTAGTTTGCTTTTTTTGCCGTTCTTTTTTATTTTGTGAATAAGTAAAACATTTAAATGCTTAAGTCACACCTGTATAAAAAGTATATTCATTGGAAGGAATTTAATAATATTAATAAAACTTGTTAGCATATTAATGAGTGTCAAGATACACCTGAAACTAAATTTGTGGTGCAGTGAAACAGTAAACTGATAATATAATTATTTCAAAGAAATTTTAAAAGATTAGGGGCAAAAGCTTGAGATTTAAAGTTGCTTTTTTTTTTTTTTAAAGCTGTTCTTTTTTTTTTTTTTTTTTTTTTGAGACGGAGTCTCGCTCTGTCGCCCAGGCTGGAGTGCAGTGGCGCGATCTCGGCTCACTGCAAGCTCCGCCTCCCGGGTTCACGCCATTCTCCTGCCTCAGCCTCCCGAGTAGCTGGGACTACAGGCGCCCACAACCGCGCCCGGCTAATTTTTTGTATTTTTAGTAGAGATGGGGTTTCACCGTGGTCTCGATCTCCTGACCTTGTGATCCGCCCGCCTCGGCCTCCCAAAGTGCTGGGATTACAGGCGTGAGCCACCGCGCCCGGCCAAAGCTGTTCTTTACCGTGGGAATAAAGGTGTACTTAAACACTAAAATGCACAGCTATAAAAACAAAACAACACTGAGCTAATCTGATTACATCCAGCTTTTGCACTCAATAGCCCTTGACCCTCCAGCCGTAAGTAAGCCTGTCATTCGCTCAGCCCTGCTATACATTCTCATTAGTTTTGTTTCAAACCCAGTGTTACAGAAACAAAACACCAAGCCCTCAATCATGCTATGCGTATCTTTATGTGTGCATGTCTTATGTATGTTTAAAATAAACGTTTTAGGCCAGGCTTGGTGGCACATGCCTGTAATCCCAGCACTTTGGGAGGCTGAAGTGGGTGGATCACTTGAGGTCAGGAGTTCGAGACCAGCTTGGCCAACATGGTGAAACCCCATCTCTACTAAAAATACAAAAAAATTAGCCGGGAGTGGTGGTGCACACCGGTAATCCCAGCTACTCAGGAGGCTGAGGCAGGAGCACTGCTTAAACCTGGGAGATGGAGGTTGCAGTTAGTGGAGATCATGCCACTGTACTCCAGCCTGGGCAACAGAGTGAGACTCTGCCTCAAAAAAAAAAAAAAGAAAAAAAAAATTGATTAATTAAAATCCAGGCCAGGCACAGGGGCTCACCTGAGGTCAGGAGTTCAAGACCAGCCTGGTCAACATGGTGAAACCCCACCTCTACTGAAAATACAAAAATTAGCTAGGTGTGGTGATACATACTGTAATCCCAGCTATTTGTGAGGCTAAGGCACGAGAATTGCTTAAACCCAGGAGGCGGAGGTTATAGTGAGCCAAGATAGTGCCACTGGACTTCAGCCTGAGTGACAGAGTGAGACTTTGTCTTAAAAAAAAAAAAAAAAAAAAAAAAAATCCAATTACCAATAAGATTTGGTAGATACTGGATATACCCAGGTGTAAAAAAAATGTTACCTCGTGAAAACTGACTTTTAAAAACCCACTAATATCATTAAGAATATTAAATAAAGGCTTTAAGATATCATCAAAATATGTTCTGAATGCCATAAAACAAAGTTACAAAAGGAAACATCAAACAACATTTCTAAAAGTTTGTGTTGAGTTTCTATAAACTCAAAGAAAGGAAGAATACAAAAACAAACAAAAAAATAAAAGAAAAAGAAAACATACCAACACCAACAGCACCAAACTGCTGCCCAACTAAGGAACTTGGACTGAACTGACTGTATGTGGGCATCCTGCCGAAAGGCCCGTAAGAACCCATGGACTGGAATGAAGAAGTCGATGAGCCTAGTGAGGACTGAAGGAAAATCATGAGTTATCTTTCCAAGCTCTAAGCAACATGTATATAATGAAAAAAATTTCCAGATTTTTACACTTTTAAGAAAACTATTAAAACTACTAAATATAAAACGAATTACAACATGCACTTAACATTAAAATAGCCAAACGACCTTCTGATTTCAATATTTGTCTATAATGTGCCAATTATACTCAATGTAACTTACGAATACTTTTTCTACACTAAACTCCCCATTTAAGAGTTTTATAGATTGAGGAAAGAAAGTTACTTAAGTACAGTAACTTTGCTTAAAGAAAAATATGAGAAAAATCACACTTAGTAATAATGGGTTTTAGTCTGATGCTGATATAAATCTCACATGTGATTTCACTCTTATTTTCAATCATTTGAGGCCTACTATTATATTCACATGAAAGAGATGCAGAAACAAACATATCCCACATAAAACCATTTACATGTTTACTTATAGTTATATTAAGTGGAGGAACATTTTATAAAAACTTTAACTTAAACCTAAAGCATATAAAATATATAACATATACTAATACATGTACTTCATATATTATCTTATTATAAACTGTTTCATAATATAAACATGAAGTGTATTAAAGGCTACCAGGACATACATTCACTGATGGCAGGACCTTTTCTTTGTGTTCACTACTAGTGTTAAGTACATGCCAGACACTCTGTAAATACTACGGAATGAATGAATAAGAAGATCAAGCAGAAGTTTGTGATGACTGGAAGAAGTTACTCAACACCATTTTCATATGCACTCTCTTAGTTTTTCTCCTTCTATAAAACTGATTACTCAAATAACTGGTTTCCTGGAGAATTATCGAAAGCCATATAAAAGAGACGGTAAGGTAACACCAGTGTTTGGTGTAGGGAGCTATCTCTATTAAGAAAGTGTCTCTTCCTTCTCCATTTAAAGAGATTTACATTTTCGGCCAGGCGCGGTGGCTCACGCCTGTAATCCCAGCACTTTGGGAGGCTGAGGCGGGTGGATCACAAGGTCAGGAGATCGAGACCATCCTGGCTAACACGGTGAAACCCCGTCTCTACTAAAAATATAAAAAATTAGCCGGGCGTGGTGGCAGGCGCCTGTAGTCCCAGCTACTTGGGAGGCTGAAGCAGGAGAATGGCATGAACCCGGGAGGCAGAGCTTGCAGTGAGCCGAGATCGCGCCACTGCACTGCAACCTGGGCAACAGAGCAAAACTCTATCTCAAAAAAAAAGTAAATAAATAAAATAAAGAGATTTACATTTTCTCCGATTCTTTCAGGTTTCCTTTCACCAAAATAAGACTTAACAAGGGTAGGGGTAGATGATTAAAAAGTTTAAATTGGGAGATTTAAGAGTTGACCTAAATATGTTAAAATGCATTTATGTTTGTGTTTTCTTGTTATATAACATTGTGGGCCAGGCACAGTGGCTCATGTCTGTAATCCCAGCACTTTGGGAGGCTGAGGTGGGCGGATCACCTGAGGTCAGGAGTTTGAGACCAGGCTGGCCAACATGGTGAAACCTCATCTCTACTAAAAATACAAGAATTAGCCGGGCGTGGTGGTGTGTGCCTGTAGTCCCAGCTACTCAGGAGGCTGAGGCAGAAGAATCGCTTGAACCAGGGAGGCGGAGGTTGCAGTAAGCCGAGTTCGCGCCACTGTACTCCAATGACTGTTTCAAAAAGAAAAGGAAGAAAAAAAACCCCCCAACATTGCATATCGTAACATAAGCAGAACAATGTGATTTCGCTTTTTGTTCCCCATTAAGCCTAATAATCTTACCTAAGAGTACCTGTTATTGCCCTGGTTTGCAATATAAACCCTATCTCAATAGCATGGTAGCACGGATTCTAGATTCTAAAGCAGGCTGCCTGGATCTGTTCAAATAGTGACTCTACCTGAATTTCTTCACTTGTTAAAAGTGAGAATAATTATGGCACCAACCTCAGAGGGTGTCTTATATGTACACCACTTCCACAGCGTAGCCTTCAAGGTTAGCTACCGCAATTGTTGTTGACATTAGAAAATATTTCATAACAAATTCTTCAGCTGTTTCTTATCTTAGTTCTAATTTATGATTAGAGAAAAACCTAGATGAGAACATTATCCAGTAATTTCAGGTATCCAGGTAACTTGAAAATGATAAGCTACATGAACATTCAACTGGAGAGAAAAAAGCCAAGGCTATCCCTGTGTGGAGTTTACCTGTACTCCAAGACAAATTTACCATCAGTTACCTGAACGATAGCTGGGTCTTGAGGCAAAGAACACTGTGGTTTTGGTGGCTCACAAACAGTAAGGTCTTTAATGTCACTCCCACGGAATATAATGTATTCAAAGACTTCATCTCGAGGTGGTATTGGACGATCTGTCGGTCTGTCTTCTGTACCAAAGGATCGAACTGGCAAGAAAACAAAGGATATGAGATGTGTGACTACTCATTACATTCAGGTAGTACCCCAGATTCTAAGTGTTGTACTTCAAGTACTAAGCAGTAGTTCTGAAATGTCTGAGAAAGTATTCATTAATCTACAGCTAAATAATTTTTTTAAAAGAGGAAAATAGAGTGGGTTTTGCCTGAAGTTAAATATACGCAATATAAAAGACTATCAGTATTACAAGGTTGTGCTCCTCTTATATTTTTATTTATTTGTATCTTTAGTGGTTGTAGTGAGGTGTTAAAATGTCCTTTATTTATTTATTTATTGATGAGCCTGGGTCTCTGTATCCCAGGCTGGAGTGCAGTGGTGTGGTCACGGCTTCCTGCAGCCTCCGTTTCCCGGGCTCAGGCAATCCTTCCATCTCAACATCCCGTGTAGCTAGGACCACAGGTATGTGCCACTAAGCCCAGCTAATTTTTTTTATTTTTTAGTAGAGATGAGGTTTTGCTATTTTGCACAGGCTGGTCTTGAACTCCTGGCCTCAAGAGATCTTCCTGCTTCAGTCTCTCAAAGTGCTGGGATTACAGGCCTGTGCCATTGTGCCTGGCTCACTGTTAATTTATTTACCTTGCTGAGCAGTAAGTCCTCTAGAAGCCAAGCCGAGTAGCTGCCAGCTATTCAGGCCCATGGGACAGCCTGAAATACCCTAGTTACCTAAAATATCTACCATATAATTAAATCTGATTATTTTAACAATGAAGATAGCATTACTCAAAGTTAAACCAGGGACCACCTGCAACACAGTAAGCTGGCTACAAATAAAGATTTCTACTGAATCTTTTTGCTGGGGACATGGTCCAAAAATCTGCATTTTAAGCCAATTTCTGGCTAGGCACAGTGGCTCACGCCTATAATCCCAGCACTCTGGGAGGTCAAGGTGGGAGGACTGCTTGAGCCCAGGAGTTCAAGACCAGCCCTAGCAACATAGTGATGTCCTGTCTCTACAAAAAATAAAAAAACAAATTAAAAAAATTAGCCAGGTGTGGTAGTGTACGCCTGTAGTCCCAGCTATAAGGAGGCTGAGGTATGAGGGGATCTCTTGAGTCTGGGAGATTGAGGCTGCACTGAACCGTGGCTGTGCTCCTGCACTCCAGCCTAGGTGACAGAACAAGGCCCTATTTCAAAATAAATAAATAAAATAACCAAATCCCAAGTTTCTTACAAATACAAAAGTTTCAGGTTCATTGTCCTGGGAGATTTCTGAAAATGTCTGCATCCATAGAGAAGTTCCAAATAGAGAATATGAAACATCATATACTATTCATTTTAAAGAGTATCCTAAAGGAAGTAATAAACCCCTTAACATTTTTTTTTTTTTTTGAGACGGAGTCTTGCTTTGTCACCCAGGCTGGAGTGCAGTGGCACGACCTCCACTCACTGCAAGCTCCACTTCCCGGGTTCACACCATTCTCCTGCCTCAGCCTCCTGTGTAGCTGGGACTACAGGCGCCCGCCACCACGCCCGGCTCATTTTTTTAAATGTATTTTTAGTAGAGACGGGGTTTCACCGTGTTAGCCAGGACGGTCTCGATCTCCTGACCTCGTGATCCGCCCATCTCGGCCTCCCAAAGTGCTGGGATTACAGGCGTGAGCCACCGCGCCCGGTCCTTTTTTATTTTTATTTTTTGAGATGGAGTCTCACTCTATTGCCCAGGCTGGAGTGCAGTGGCGCGATCTCGGCTCACTGTAACCTCCGCCTCTTGGGTTCAAGTGACTCTCCTGCCTTAGCCTCCCGAGTAGCTGGGATTATAGGCGTGTGCCACCACACCCAGCTAATTTTTGTATTTTTTTTTTTTTAGCGGAGATGGGGTTTCACTATGTTGGTCAGACTGGTCTAGAACTCCTGACCTCAAGTGATCCACCGCGCCTGGCCCCCTTAACATTTTTAATGCATATGCTTTTTTTGTTGTTGTTGCAGAACTGATGCAGCGCTAGATTAAGGATGAATGTCAGGCTGGATGCAGTGGCTCATGCCTGTAATTCCAGCACTTTCGGAGGCCGAGGTGGGCAGATCACTTGAGGTCAGGAGTTTGACACCAGCCTCAACAAAATGGTGAAACCCTGTCTCTACCAAAAAATACAAAAAATAATTAGCTGGGCACGTTGGTGTGCACCTGTAGTCCTAGCTGCTCAGGAGGCTGAGGTGAGAGGATTGGCAGAACTCAAGAGGCAGAAGTTGCAGTGAGCTGAGCCGAGATGGTGCCCCTGCACTCCAGCCTGGGTGACAGAGCAACAATCTGACTTAAAATAAATAAATAATTAAAAAAGAATATTATTTCAGTGTAAATAATGTCCTACACTCTTATTCTAAAAGTTCTTTCTAGTACTTATGAGACTTTCAGGAAAGATAGTGGCACAGGTAGTTTGGCAGAAGATCCTTCCCTAAAACTAAAGGAAAAAAACAAAAAGGAAGTTAAAATATCCCTAAAATCACGAAAAGTTCTCAAACTCATACCATGAAATTTTATTAAATAGTACAATTAAGGTACAGAATGAGTTAGTTGAAACTGAAAGACCAAGCCCAGAATCCATATGTAAGTATCCCTTGCCCTCTCCTCCCCTGAGAGAAATTTTGACTAGCATCTTCAACTTGCTAAGATGGGGACAGGGACACAGGTGTGATGAGGAAAAAAATGCGGAACGCCCTACCTGAAACTCCCCTTCTCTGGTGGCCAAACAGTACTTTAGCAGGCAGGAGGATTTTATATTTTTACCTTTATCCAAAAGGAAGGGTAAGGAGGAGAAAGGACTAATTACAAATAAATCAATCTCACCCCTAACCTCAGTACCATCACAGCGAATAAAGTCTCATGCTTCCAAAGTAGCAGATGAGATCATCCTGAAGCAGAGGGGGCAAGAGTCAAAGGCCCTTCTTCTACAAAACTAGAGAAGCTCTATTAAGCTTCCTAAGGCCTAGTAGAGCTTAGCCAGGTGAACTCAGAGTGAAGTAAAAGAGAATCTGCATTTCACGTTTTCGCAAGCAGCAGATACTGAAAGGACCTACTAAGGAAAAAAAAAGTAGAAACATCAGGGAATCAAGATAAATTTTACAGGAAAGATGGAAAGAAGGGAAGAAAAGAGGGAAAGGAGGGAGGCAATGATGGAAGGAAAGAAAAAGGTATATCAAAATAAAGAAAAAAGGCAGGAAAGAAGAGAAGAATCAAAGAGGACACGGTCTTCATTTGCTTATTCTGTTTTTTTCCACTACCAGCGGTTTGCCCTGACAGAGAGGACACAGTCTTCAAAAGGTGGATGAAATACATTCAGTATCAGTATTTATCACAGAAAATAGAAGAAATTTTCTGAAAGGACTGCTTCGACATTCACAAGAAAAACAGCATAGACTCTTATGATCAAAACAACACTGAAAGGGTAGCATGCAGAATTAAGGAAAGAAAATTATACAAGATAAATAAAACAGCATAACTAATAAATGCATCAACAGTCAATGCAGTTAAAACCAAATCACTAGAAGACAATAATTTTGAGAAAACGTAAACGAGATGTCATGAAAAAGTAGTACCGTAATAAAAAGGTTAGAGAAAAGATGATAGTTATGAAGATCCAACAGTTAACTACTGCCCCTGAGACAGACAAAAGAATAAGAGAAAATAAAATTAAAGTTATAACAGAATAGAAATGTCTTGACATGAAGGTCTAAATTTCATTAAAAGTTTTCACTGTATTTCCAGGAAAAAAAAAAAAACAGACCACTACAAGCCACAGAGACTTATGTTATGGTATATCAAAATAAAGAATGCAAAAAAAGTGGCATCCAAAGATAAGAAATGGACAATAAATTCATTTAAACAAAGATGTGTACATGACAATTTACTATGGTTCTAGAATAGAAATAGTTCTGGAAAAGACTAGAAAGTTACAAAGTGTAACAAACTAAGAACAGTATATCAACATTTTAACAAAAATTGGGAGATTAAAATGAATGGAGAAAAAGGAAAACTGAACAGACAGTAGTAGTATCTAAACTTACACTTTCATCTCTCATCATGTCAAGTAGGAGTCACTTGACACATTTTTTTTTTTTTTTGGGTTAGTTGACACTAAGCGAAGGCTTTAAAATTTTTTATTTGAAAGAATTTGTTAAATTCTACTATGGGTCTTGGAAATAACCCATAGTAGAATTTAAAACCAAGAGCATACTTTCCAAAATATGGTATGAAGAAAAACTCTATCATATGGCAAATGAAGCAAACTGAAAAAGCATGAAAACAGAAATCACAGAATAAGAATGATTTGCACACACCAAGAGTTTGAGAAACATGCTCTAATGATGGAGGCTGGCTTAATAAGATTTGGGGTTTTCAGTGCAATCAAGTTCTTGTAGTATTGTGAAGAACAAATTCCACAAGACAGATTAGAAGGGCACATATGGCTAGAAGATACTGTTACAGAACAAATGAGAAGTCTGGAAGGTTAAAACTTGAGCATTAAGAGTAGAGAGGAAGGAGGCATGACAAGCATAGAAAAGGTAAAGAGCTACCGGAACTATTCTACTACAACACATACATTAGCTCATATGCAATCAGTAAATAAGGGAATTATGTCAGTACATTCAGAAATCACATTGGTTCATTTCCAGTTTTTCCTAAAATGTTATTTAGTTTTTGCATTTGCAGGTAACAACAGTTAAATACACCTAGCCATGAGTAGTGCTATCACTTCTGGTTACCTTTACTGTTTTTAAAGGGAAAGTTATAAATTTACCGAATTATTTGTTTAAAAATTTTAACTTATCTTTAAGCACACTAGTATTTTTTATTAGGTTTACATTAGTGCTTAAATTACAAAGATGCACAGATTTCAAATGGTCTGCTCCTAATCCTAGTTTTCCCATAAACCCCATTCCTCTTAGTGCAGGAAGGCATACCTCAGATTACAGCACAAATGCCTTTGCCTGGCTGGCAAAATCTGAATTATGTTCTAATTATTATTATTTTTTT